GTGGCACTCGCTGTGCTTGGCTCGGGGGCAGCGCGCAGCGGCGCGGAGGCACGGAGGCGGCGGCGGCTCCTGGCTGCGCTGAGACTTGAAGGCGAAGTGCGCAGAGGGGCTAAAGTAGGGGGGAGGGGAAGGAGAGAGGGGGCGCCGTATTCTTCCCCTCTCCGGCTGCTCCTTCCCCTCTCCGGCTGCTCGCTAGCTGTTGACTCTGGGACATCAATCACCGGGCGAAAAAGCACCGTGCGAGCGAGCCTCGCCGTTTCGGCCGGGTCTCTCCATTGGCTGTGCGCGGAGAGGAACGGGGTGAATGACAGCGCGGGGGAGGGGCGGAGAACGGGAGAGGGAGGCCTGGAGCCAAGACAGATGTAGGAGCCCGAGACGGAGGGACTGAGACAGAGGCTCAGAGAAGTAGTTCAAGAAGAGAGAGAAGAGGCCAACCAGAGGCTTAAGAGTAGAGAGAAAAAGAATAGGAGGCCGGCATTCCCAGAGGCCGATAGACAGATGGCCCCAAGGAGGTGGAGGTCAGAGTCCTCTTCCCAGCCTGGCAGGAGCCACCAGCTTGCTTAGAATTGGGCCAAAGGGGCCAGCCCACCAGGCCTCTGGGGAAGGGGCATCCCAGCGCTACTGGAGAATCACCTCAAGGGCTCAGCTGGGAAGCACCTGTCTGTCAACCAGAGGATTTACTCCAAACTTGCAGTCCGGCTTGTTAGAAAGTAGAAGACTGTCTACTCCCCGGGTATGGAGCCCAGGCCCCTGAGGCTGGAAGGTGAGTTCAGGCTTGTCTTTTAAAACACAGGCCTATGAACAGCTGGCTATACGTTGTTGAAAAAGTCAGCAACAAGCCCAGCTCTGCCAGTTTAGAGAAACTGAGGGAGGGAAGACTTCCTGAAAGACAGGCACAAGTCAAGGGAGTTGGCTTGGGGCCTGCTGTTGGGGTGTCCAGGCATCAAGACACTCCCTTTCCTTTTAAATAGACAGAAGCCTCAAGCAGCAGTTCCCACAGTATGTGAATGAATTCAATCAGATTGCTTTCGTCTAGCAACTAGCCCAGGGCTGGCTATTCCAAGTAAGAAACCTTTGGATTATAGTGAGGGGAAGGAGTTATGTTCTTACTTTTGGAATCTTGGAAGGGAGGCCTAGGGGCTTAAAACAGTGAGGCTGGGTATAGTGGGACCAAGATCAGGGAAGTACATCTAGGACAAATTTAGGCCTTTTCAAAGTTTTGCCTGTGGCTGACTGGCTTAGAGCCCAAGAGGGAAGAAGGAAACTCCCTTTTTCTGCTTCCGCTCTTCCTCCTCTCTACTA